AACAAATAAAATGGAGGCATTCAGGTGGATTAAATTACTGTCCCAGGTCACCATGTGGCAGAACCAGGATTTGAACCCAAGTGGCCTGCTCTAGAGCCTATGCTCTTTGACCTTTTATGTTCTCAAACAAACAGCATGCAGTTGATTAGCAGTAGCAACCGTAACAGTAAAAGTAACAAAAAATAATGTGTAACTGCAGTAAGAAATTTTCGTTACTCAGAATTTCTCTCAGATGGTCTGTTTTGACATGAAAGGATGATAGGGCAGTAGGTCAGACCTCAATGATAGAAGAACTAGAATTTTCTGGTAGTGAGAGATAGGATAACTAGGAGGGATGGGAGAGGGAAAGAGGGCCTGGAGGAGGCAGGCATTTGTGTGCTCTATCATAGCTCAAGAATATTGGGCAGACACTGAAAAGCAGCCTTGTTGTGGGAAGTCAGGGACCCTGAACAGAGGGACCTGCTGAAGCTGTGACAGAAGAACATAAATTGTGAAGATTTCATGGACATCTATCACTTCCCCAATCAATACCCTTATAATTTCCTATGCCTGTCTTTACTTTAATCTCTGAATCCAGTCATCTTCATAAGCTGAGGATGTATGTCGCCACAGGACCCTGTGATGATTGCGTTAACTGCACAAGTTTCATAAAGCATGTGTGTTTGAACAATATGAAATCTGGGCACCCTGAAGAAAGAACAGGATAACAGCAATGTTCAGAGAACAAGGGAGATAACCATTAGGTCTGAGTGCCTGGGAACCAGGCAGGACAGAGCCATATTTCTCTCATTACCGAAAATGGGTAAGAGAAATATCGCTTAATTCTTTCCCCAGTAAGGAATATTAATAATTAACAGCCCTGGGAAAAAAATTCATTCCTGGGGCGGGAGCCTCTAAAATGGCCGCTCTGGGAGTGTCTGACTTATGCAGTTGCAGATAGGGATGAAACACACCCTGGCCTCCTGCAGCGCCCCCAGGTTTGCTAGGATTAGGAAATTCCAGCCTGGCGAATTCTAGTCAGACTGGTTCTCTGCTCTTGAACCCTGGTAAGATGTTTATCAATGACAATGCATGCACAGCAGGACATGGAACTTCATTAGTAATTCTAGTTTCATCCTGACCTTGTGATCTTGCCCTGATCTTCTGCCTTGTGATCTTTTGTTGCCCTTGAAGCATGTGATCTCTGTGACCCACACCCTATTCGTTCACCCCTCCCCTTTGAAAATTGCTAATAAAAATACGGCTCGTGGGAATCACAGAACCTGCCAACATGTGATGTCTCCTCCAGACACCCAGCTTTTAAATTTCTCTCTTTTGTACTCTTTCCCTTTGTTTCTCAGACTGGCCAACACTTAGGGAAAATAGAAAAGAACTTACGTTGAAATATTGGGGGCTGGTTTCCCCTGATATGGCCTGAGTAGATGTAGGGCTGGCCAGAAGCAACACTGCAGGAGGGTAGAGCCCAAGATGAGGAAGAGATCGGGAGAATGTAATTGTCCTGAAATTGGGAGAAAAATCTTTGAGAAAGGCACAGAGTTTGAGAGGTGATGGCTTTGGAGTTGAGGGAGTTGAAGGCAAATGTGCCAGGTTTTCAAAGGTATAGGAAAGCCCACTGACTGACTTCCTGAGTTGCAAATGGTATTCAGATATGGATCAACCGATTCGTCTAGGAGTCTTGCTATAATTAATTATTAATCTTGTTTTCTCTGTGGAACCATTATCCTCTTAATCATGTCATGTTCTCTTGCAGCCAAGGACTTGGGGATAGTGGAGTGGGGGAAAAAATGAACATATTTTCAATAACTGCTATGTGCTACCATCCTAGGTACAATGCATATTTCAGTCCTACCTAGAACAACCAACAGTACTAAGTAAGAATAATTATCCCAATTTGATAGGTGAGAATAATCAGTTTCAAAGAGGTTAGTTTACTTTCCTAACATCATTAAGCTAAGTGACTTGCCCCCCCAAAACAAAAAGACTATTTTAAAATTTATATGGAACAAAAAAAGAGCTCACATAGTGAAGACAATCCTAAGCAAAATAAATAAATAAATAAATAAATAAAAGAAAGAAAAAGAAAAAGCTAGAGGCATCACTCTACCCAACTTCAAACTATATTACAATGCTACAGTAAACAAAACAGCATGGTAGTGATACCAAAGCAGGCACATAGACCAATGAAAAATAACAGAGAACTCAGAAATAAAACTGCACATCTGCAACCATCTGATGTTCAACAAACCTGACAAAAACAAGAAATGGGGAAAGGACTCCCTATTTAATAAATGGTGTTGGGAGAACTGGCTAGCCATATACAGAATGGCTTGCTTACACCTTATGCAAAAATTAACTCAAGATGGATTAAAAATTTAGCTGTAAAATCCGAAACTATAAAAACCCTAGAAGAAAATCTAGGCAATACCATTCAGTACATAGGTATGGGCAAAGATTTTATGATGAAATTGCCAAAAGCAACTGCAACAAAAGCAAAAATTGACAAATGGGATCTAATTAAACTAAGGAGCTTTTCCACAGCAAATGAAACTATCATCAGAGCAAACAGACAACCTACAGAATGGGAGAAAGTTTTTGCAATCTATCCATCTGACAAAGATCTAATATCCAGAACCTACAAGGAACTTAAGCAAACTTACAAGAAAAAAGAAAACAACCCCATTAAAAAGTGGGCAAAGGATATGAACAGACACTTCTCAAAACAAGACATACATGCAGCCAATAAACATGAAAAAAGCTCAACATTACTGATCATTACAGAAATGCAGATCAAAACCACAATGAGATACCATCTCACGCCATCAGAATGGCAATCATTAAAAAGTCAAGAAACAACAGATGCTGGTGAGGTTGCAGAGAAATAGGAATGCTTTTACACTGTTGGTGGGGAATGTAAATTAGTTCAACTACTTTGGAAGATAGTATGGTGATTCCTCAAAGTTTTAGAACCAGAAATACCATTTGACCCAGCAATCCCATTGCTGGGCATATACCCAAAGCAATATAAATCATTCTGTTATAAAGATACATGAACATGTATGTTCATTGCAGCATTATTCACAATAGCAAAGACATGGAATCAACCCAAATGCCTATCAATGATAGACTGGATAAAGAAAATGTGGTACATATTTGCCACAGAATACTATGCAGCCATAAAAAGGAATGGGATCATGTCTTTGCAGGGACATGGATGAGGCTGGAGGTCATTGTCCTCAGCAAACTAATGCAGAAACAGAAAACCAAACACCACATGTTCTCACTTATAAGTGGGAGCTGAATAATGACAACATATGAACTCAAGGAGGGAAACAACACTCACTGAGGCCTGTTGCGGGAGGGCAGGGGAGGAAAGTATTAGGGAAAAGAGCTAATGCTTGTTGGGCTTAATACCTAGGTGATGGGTTGTTAGGTACAGCAAACCACCATGGCACATATTTTCCTGTGTAACAAACCTGTACATCTTGCACATGTACCCTGGAACTTAAAAATAATAATAATAACAAAATAATTAAAAATAAATAAATAAATAGAAAATAACTTGCCCAAGAAGTTGACAAAGAGGTTTTATGACTTTCCCAAAGTCCCTCATTTTTCTGGCCCCAAGGTTACACTCTTCTCTTTCCCACCTTGCTAGCTTCTCATATCCCAGAGCTTCCCTTTGTTCCTTCAGCACCAACATAGAGCTGAATTCCTCCTGGATACTCAATAAACATTTCTCTTAACTGAGTTACTGTGAGATGACCAGAGTCAGCAACAGGATGGGCTTTTCCCATTTTTTATTTTCTAGAAGTTTATTCAGGAGGGACAGAAACAAAAGCTAATTCAGGTAATAATTTTACCTCTAATAATGCTAATTTTACATAATTCCCTCCTAAGCTCTCAAGATCCTGCTCATTGAGGTGTGCTCATTTTTTTATTAGCTATTCCTGGAAGTGTTTCAGAGTTAACAGAAGAGCCATAATGATCAGGTAGATTTTTTACCAGATGCCTGCAGACTATGAAAATTCTGCTTCATTGTCTCTCTTGCTTATCTGTGACTTGGTAAAATGGTTGTCACTTTTCTAGGCCTCAGTACCTTTTCAAAATAATGGGGATATTAATGCTTTCATTAATTTTTAATAAAATATACTTAAGTGAATCTTTAAGGTTTCTACCAGAGGGGAGGACAAATCCTGAGGTTTAAAAATTTTTTTAAACAGTTCTTTTGAATTATAATTGATACACAAAGAAATGTGTATATTTCGTGTGTAAAATTTGATGTACTTGGACATATGCATCACCATATGGTGATGCCATTGTGATACCATCACCACACTCAAGGTAACAGACAAAATCAACACCTCCCAAAGTGTTCTTACCACAAAAATAACAAGGAAAAAAAAGAGACACAAGGAAACATTGTGAAATCCTGTGACATGGAGGCAGACACCTGTTTTGGAGTCCTGGCTGTTGAAGTCCTTGTCTGTATAAATTGGATTCTTGAATATATTCTTAACCTTCTAACATTTCTATTTCCTTAATTGTTAAAGTGATTTAAAAAACCACCCTCCAGATTATGAATGGCTCCTTCTGGAGTTGTGCAATGAGGAGCCTGGCAAACATATCTAGCCTGGACCTCTGCACCGGCTTTCTAGGTGGTATCTCCACCCAAGGTCATGTCATAATGCTGATCTTTCTCCACACCTGTATTAGTCCATTCTTACACTGCTATAGAACATATCTGAGACTGAGTAATTCATAAAGGAAAGAGGTTTAATTGACTCACAATTCTGTAGGGCTGGGGAAGCCTCGGGAGACTTACAGTCATGGCAGAAGTGGAAGCAGGCATGTCCTTCTTCACAAGGCAGCAAGAAAGAGAAGAATGAGCAAAGAGGGAAAAGCCCCTTATAAAACCATCAAATCTCATGAGAGCTCATTCACAATCATGAGAACAGCAGTATGGGGGTAACCATGACCATAATTCAATTATCTCCCTCCAGGACCCTCCCATGAAATGTGGGAATTATGGGAACAACAATTCAACATGAGATTTGGGTGGAGACACAGCCAAGCTATATCAGCACTACAGCTAGGAGCACATCAAAACATGGATCAGATCCCATCCTTCTCCTGCTTAAAGCCCTCTGACTGAAAGTAAGTTGACTGCAGAAGCAAGCACTATGCATTCCCCCAGAGAGAATGAATTCAGTACCTGGCATTGTCTGCTGGAGTTATTTTAGTGAAGTTTACAGTTTCTCTAAGCCTCAGTTTCTGCATCTGTAAAATGGGAGCAGCAACACTTCTTTTGGAACAACTATGCTCACACAGTCTGCTGTTGAGCTATTGAGGCAGTTTTTAGTTTGTATTATTATTGCTTTTTTTACCTAGCTATTGTCACTGTGATGCTCTAAGTTGTACTAGGACAAGGTGCATATCAACTGTTTACTCCTGTCTCCCCAAATATCTAGCACAGGGCCTGAAACAGAATGGTATTCAACTGATATTTTAGACTGTCCAGCTCAGGTCTCTAACAGCAAGGACTGTGTATTATCAACCACTGTCTTCCTAGTTCCTGGTACTAGGTTATTTTGTCTCCCCCTTTTCTCTCTCATTGTTGAGATCTCTAGAGTGGCTCTCCTGAAGTCAGCAAATCAGGACAAGGACAGCCCAGAAGGTTTGAGAGATAGTGCACAGGTCACATTGGTAGGGCAGTTTCAGACTCATCATGTTTAAGGGTGGTGAATTTGTTTTCTATTGCTGCAAAGCAAACTATCCCAAACTTAGTGACTTGAAAGGGCTAGGATTTATTAGCTCAGTTTCTGTGGGTCTAGAGTCTGGACACAGATTAGCTGGATCTTCTGCTTCAGAGTCTCACAAAGCCTGAATCAAAGCATCAGCCAGGACTGCATCTCATCTGAGGTTCAACTGGGGAAGGAACTCTTTCCAAGCTCATGTAGTTGTTGGCAGCATTCAGTTTCTTGTGAGCTGTTGGTGAGAGGCTACCTTCAGTTTCTAGAGGTTTCCTTCAACCCTTCCCTAGATGTGTCCTGTTTGGCCCTAGAGATCCAGTTTCTACCTGCTTGGTGCCCCAGGAAGCTGACTTCTGTGCAGGGCATCAACTGAGCTCTTTGCTGTCCAACTTGGGGTTGGGTTTGACCGATGGGAAAAAACCAGCAGGAAATATAGAGAAGGAAGAAGCTGCACCTGTGTCCATTCACCTCGATCCTTCTCTCCCAGGTCTTGAGCTGTCTGTTTATTTCTAAGCAAATATCACAGAATTATTTTCTCCAGCTGCCTTTAGCTCCAGCTACTGTGCCTGGATTCTTGTAACTGTTTCTCCCCTTGCTACTTAGGGTGGCAAGGGCTCCCCTGGTTTGCTAACCCAGGGGAACTTCATCATCCCTGTCAGTTTCCCTTAGTCTGCTCACATCTTTAAAAATATTCCCTTTATAAATTTTCCTTATTTACCCCATTTGCCTGTGCTAATTGGCCAGGACCCTGATATAACCTCCTTTGACTAAATCATCCTGACTTGAATCTACTATAGGTTCAGTACCCCTTATCCAAAATATTTGGGACCAGAAGTGTTTCAAATGTTGGATTGTTTTTATTTTGGAATAGTTTCATTATACTTATTGGTTCAGCATTTCTAATCTAAAAAATCCCAAATCATCTCCCACAGCATAGTTATTCCCATAGCTCTTATTTACAATTGTCAAACAGAAAGAAACAGGGTCAGCAACAGTTGGTTAAAAATTGCCTTGCTTTTAAAAAAAATCCTTACAGTTTTATTATAAGTAAGGGTAAGTACCTACCACCATCACATCTCTTAGTGTAATTCTCCTTTATGCTACACTTAGACAATTGTATGGATTTTTTATTGACTTTAAAAATTATGTGTAGTAGTAAGCTATATTATACATGAACTTCATTTCTAAAGGAGTCATTAGATTTATTTGTAATAAGATAGGAGTGTTGGATCTGATGAGGCTGATCACTCCTCTTAGATATATCTGTATCTTTCATGTTCCCTTGACTGTGGCTGGCATACAGCAGGAGCTCAGTAAATGTTAGAGAACTGAGTGAGTGGGTGGATAAATTACCTGCCTGCAACATTAGTATAAGTTGCTTGGTGGACACTGCTGTGTGTTGTTTGAATGGCACCTCTTTAGGCAGAGATTGCCATCCCTACATCACTAACTTCTGGGATTGGGGACAATTTATGCAACATTCTATTCCCTGAGTATAAGGGAAATTCTACACTGAGAGAACTTTTGGAGGTGGCCTTTTTGGGGGAGATGAAACACTTTCTTGTTTTCTCAGTGTAAATCTATTAAGGAAAGGATTGCACCATGATGTTAATGAGCTCAGGAATGGAACTTAAAAACAACACAAAACAAGCAAAGTGTTCCTCGTATTGTTTGGGTATACAGAAGTCTCCCTTGAAGGGGAGACTTTATATACCCCTGAAGGGTATAGGTTCCAAGACCTCTAGTGAATTCTTGAAGGCACAAATAGTAGTAAACCCTATATTTTCCTATACATATGATCAAGTATAATTGACAAATTAGGTACAGGATTAGACTAACAATCATAATAAAATAGAACAATTATAATTAAATACTGTAATAAAAGTTATGTGAATTGTGCATGTCTCTTTCTATCTCAAGATGTTTTACTGTAGTATTCCTTGGGTAACTGAAACCACAGAAAACGAAATCGTGGATAAAGGGTGATATGGTTTGGCTGTGTCCCCACCCACATCTCATCTTGAATTGTAGCTCCCATAATTCCCATGTGTTATGGGAGGGACTTGGTATGAGATAATAGAATCATAGGGGTGGTTTCCTCTATACCGTTCTCATGGTAGTGAATAAGTCTCAAGAGATCTGATGGTTTTCATTCTGTCTTCCCTGCTGCCATGTAAGATGTGACTTGCTCCTCCTTGCCTGCTGCCATGATTGCGCATCCTCCCTAGTGATGTTGAACTGTGCCAATTAAACCTCTTTCCTTTATAATTACCAAGTCTCAGGTATGTCTTTATTAGCAGTGTGAGAATAGACTAATACAAAGGAGAACTACTGCATGTTGCTCCTAGAGACCATTGATTTGCCCACTACTTAGACTAACCTTTCCTGTGCATGTCTTCAAGTTGCTTCCTCTATTCTTCTCTGGAAATGATTTCATGTCCCCTGTATTCATCAGTCCTCCCCAGCTAGCCCAATGTGTATCTTGGGCAGTGACATTGCTTTTTATCTTGTTGTGTCTCTGGGGTTGTGTGTCTCCAGGAGATTTGCACTAGCTGCTAGATGTGCAATGAATGCTTGTAGGTAAATCTTCAACCAGGAAATGATCTTGGAAGCTCAGTCTTTCTATGTTTTCAAATAATAAATTGGAATTTACAGAGGTGTGATTACTTGTCTCAGGTTATAGAGATGGTTAGTTACAGAGGTGGACCAAGAAGCCTTGAATCAGGATTCTCTGTATACAAAATTTTGTGCTTTAGAGGGAGGAGAGTATAAATAAAATATTTTTTAAACTAAAATGTAAAGATGTGATTATTCTGATTAATAAAAATTCAGAATATATGTTATATGCATACTGAACTTACACACGTAATACATACATAGTTATAGTTTTCATTTAAAATAATACAGTCCATTGAAAGGCCCTTTCAAAATATGGAGATAATTTGAATAAAATATACATATTAAGTATGAAAAGGAAACAGTAAAAATGAAAAAAAAATGGAAATAAGAAAAGAACTCAATGTGCCAAGTAATTTACATACTGACAGCAAGTTTATTTGAACATAGAAATGTATGTAAATTGGCCTGCCTATTTAAGAAAAAAATATGCAAATAGATGTCCACAGAAATCTGCTACCCTTCATGTTGAGGTAGAAAACAAGATGCTTAATTTCCTCTCAAATTATTATTTTTTCTTTCCGGAATGTCCCCTCAGGAAACTCTAGGGATGAATTCTTACATGTCTAGCATTTAACCATTCATTCATCCGTGTAACTGTCTTACACAGTTCTGAGCCAGGCATTATACAGGGTGCTGAAGTTACAAAGGTGAGTAAGACACAGAAAGTTCTAGTCCTTGAGAAGCTCAGAATCTAATGAGAACAAAAGATGTACATGGTCTCTTATGACCACTGGGATCCTTATGCACTGGGAATACATGTGCTCAATGTACAAATGCACTTGGGATAGGTATGTTGTTATATATTTACTATAAATAAAATGGCAGTGGTGTGTCTAATAAGGTTGACAGTGATTCTATGGATATATTCACGATGTTTCCATGGCAGCCAGTGACCTCCTCTGTCAACTTTCCCATTTTTCTTTGAGTCCCCTTCTCTTATTGCTTCTCCATCTTTTCTAAGTCCTTATTTTGGGTTCAACATTTTCAAGTGCCTCCCGACTGTCTTTAAGCCTAACCATGATCTGTGTAGTCTTTCCAAGCCTATTTCTCTACAATTCTATACTGATCTTTCTATAAAATGGGTCACAGGAATGAAACTAAAAGAAAAAAAAAGAGGAGAAAAAGGAAATACATTTCTCTTGAAGAATTTGCTTTCAAAAGGTATAAGATTTGGGAGGAGACACGAATTCAAAATTTCATTTAGTACCTTCATAATTATGTGATCATGAGTAAGTCACAACCACTTTTCAATAAACCACAGGGAAGGGTCATGAGGAGGACTACATGAAATAATATGAGTAAAGCAAATTTATATTTCCATCCTAGGTCCTTCCCTAAAACTCCAGGCTCATATAAACAACCTACTATGTGACATCTCTACTTGAACATCTTAGATTAATCTCAAAACATATCTAAACCTGAATTGCTGATATTCTTCCCCAAAGCTGTTCCAAGCATCTCCTTGCCTATATCTGTTAATGGCCACTCTATCCTTCTAGTTGCTTGAGCCAAGCCCTAGGAGTTATCTTTCACTCTTCTATTTCTTTCACACCTCACATATAATAAATAAGAAAATCTCATTGTCTCCTCCTTCAAAACACAACCAGAATCCAACCATTTTTATGAACTCCACTGCTATTATATTGACAATGTCACATAGTTTCTCACCTCAGTTGTGACAGCCTCTTTACAACTCTCTCTACATTGACAATGAT